ATGGAAAGAGGACATTAGTGAGTGATTAGCTCTTGCAGAACAGAGACGCTATCGGCCATTAAGCTGATATATAATAGAAGATGTGGCTGACTACGGAAGTTAGACAAGAGACAGTGTAATTATACAGTACAGACTTCCAAAAAAACGTCCCCGGGAAACTCTGGAAGAAGGAGGTAAACAAGTCGTTTGAAGCCCATGAATAAAGTAATTAATTCTTCCACTGCTTCGCTGGAGCAACGTCACGGTCAAACTGCAGAGGAGTGAGCCGGCACTCCCCCGCGCTGTAAATAAGACGAGAGCTCGGAGACAAACGGTGTGGTAGAAGAAGGTGTAGAAGTGGGAAGTGAAAGGGAAGGAGGGCGGGGAGGCCTGTTGTCACTGCCCCCTTTATCAGCTGATATATATGCATGAGGATTTCCTCATCATCTCCACTGTCAATTCCCCGTCCCTCTGATATTTGACTGACAGCCTCGCATCAACTCCAATAAACCCGCACATCATTTCAGGAGTGCTGCCCATCGCGCCGGATGGAGGGTGGAAACGGGAGAGGCAGGAAGTTAATTTGTTTTCCGGCGGCTGCCGTAGGTGATAGCGGCCGTGTCTGTTTGCCTCCATGGCGAAGTTGTAAATTAGAATTATGCCTCAATAGACGGAGGGAGACTGCTACGAGAAAGCTCATTTTCGAAGACCGGAAGAAAATACTTGGCAGCTTCTTATATTTCGAGCAGCAGGGAGCAAATTGTGCAAGACTGTGAATTATGAAGAATTTAAGAAATAGCTGTCATTTTTAAGACTACATCCCCTGTGAAGGCCGATTCATTGCTGAGTGTTAAAGGGGACGTATTATGTTAACTTTCAGGTTCATATTTGTATGTTGTGCGTCTACTGGGACATGTTTACATGCTTTAATGGTCAAAAAGGTCACTTTTCAGGGTTTTACTTACTTCAAAATTGTAATAAAAGATAAAGCACTGTCTCAAATCAAATAGAGAAAACACAAAGAACATCTAATTGCAGACGATGAGATATATTAACCCTCTGTGGGATTTGCATGATTGCTGTCTCCATTTGATCATTCTAACCTCTGGCAAACACACACATGTAACACGACCACAATCTGCCAGGCTTTACCTTCCCTCCCATGGACACATGTATTCAAGTCGGCTATGATTAGCAGGCCTCGTCGGCGCGCTCCATACGTGTCAAGTGATGCAAAGGACGTGATTTGTGGTGGAGCATATATTATTTATGGTAAAGATAAAGAGATGAAGTGAGATGAAGTGAGAGCGAGCCATAATGCTTATCCACAGGAGGAAGGTTTGTCCTGTGTGCAAATTGTATAGCCTTATGCATATTTTACTAAAGAGAATACTAGCATTAATAAATACTCTCTTGAAGTGCATATTTCATTTTCAGGGCAGCTAACAGCCCTTAAATGCCAGATGAGACGCTGGATCAAAGAAATCCACCTGCAGCGCATTAACCATAGCCAGGATTAGGTAATGCTCCTCCAGTTCACCCCCACCGCGGCTTAGAGTCACCGCTGACACACCCACACAAACATGTCAGGGATTTCGGGATGCCAAAACACTTTTGACAACCAGGGAGCGTTCAAATAGTTGTCTACACCTATCCTTCCTTTCTTTTCCTTACCTTTGCTTGCTCTTCCTATGCATTTAAATGTGCTATGAAGGTGCTTAAGACCACCAAAAGACACCAATTACCACGTTGATATTTTTCCTCTGACGCACTGGAAACCGCATGCTGACCCAGAAGGGCTAAGTGCAGCCATGATAAAAGATGTTTGGGTTCTCTAGATCTAAGGTAAGGTGCTTCATTGCTTCCTTTTCTGTCTCCATTAAAAGGAAAAGCCTTCCCACAATGCTTTGCGGCAGCGTCATTTAAAGCAACCATCCATTCGGCCGCTGCAAATGTCAGCTATGGATAAATTGAAAACATCCTTCTTAGTAGACGTGATCGTGTTTTGGACATAAAATGTGTACAGTACTGGATGTGTCCCGACACATTGTCATTTCCTAAGTCCTCCTTTGTAACTTTCCTTGACGTTTTCCAACGAGGTCAAGGAAACGTGGTTAGTAAAAGAGTTGGGACGCAGCCTAAAAGAGCTCAAGGAGAGGGACTGAGTGTTGCAAAATGACAGCAGTAATCCATCAGAGATCAGGCTTTGCTTCTGTAGAGCGCAGCCCACCCCCGACTACCTTTCAACCCGGCGCATCCTGCTGCGCCGCGATAGGACGAGAGCGGAACGGACGCCGCTAATTGGCTTGCATCCCTGTCGGATTTCCACATCCAGACAGAGGGAGAGAGAGAGAGTGGGGGAGAGGATATATATCATGTTGTATGAGGATTTGTAAACAGAGGATCAAAACACACAGCTTTTCATGTCCTTTGAATTGTGGGAGGGGCGGGGCCGCGCTGTGAGCCGAGAGCGACAGCCGAACATTGATCCTGAGTGAGTGACGCGACAGACGGGACCTGTCAGGAGGCCTGGTGGGGCGGCGGAGCAGTGACACACACAGGGACGGTTCACACACTCAACATGCACAGAATAAACAACTGGATGTCACTGGATAACAAGAGGAAGTTAGTCACAAGTCCTTCAAACACTGACCTCCTGATGTTGAAGCCATAATACGTGTGATCCGGACACAAAAACAACCCATAAGCTAGAATGAATGCCACTGAAGGACGGTGGTTGAGAGCACTTTACTCTGAGATAATAATATCTTTGGCAGAGGTTTTATTGAAATGAGAGATGTAAATATCCTCGTTTGATAAAGACATGTGAAACCTCTGACCAGGTTTCCCTCTTTGTTCTGAGGGAGTGTGCGGATGTGAGAGTGCAGAGCCCCAGTGTTAGTCTTTCTGCGGTCTGTCAGTGGCGCAGCCCCCGAGGCTACGTTACAGGGCTTCACCGCTGTCTGCTGAATACAGACAAGACAGGCAGTCCCCCCCCCTCTCTGAGGAAGGTATGAAGGGCACCGCCGTTTGTCTCGGCTCGTTTCGGAGAACCGGGGAGACGGGAAGCGAACGGGACTTTAAACGTGGTGATGTGAAGGAGAGGAGAACATCTGAGGGCATCTCACTGCACGTTGTAGGATTTCAATCATATCACAAGATTTTCATCGGCCAAATGATATCCTGGATGTAAAAAATTGTAAATCAATTAAAAAACTTGACTGTACTGTATGTAAAAGAATGACCAAATAAAAAGGGTCAGAGATGGATTTAGCAAAACGCAAATGTTTCCACAGCAAATGTGATCTCCAGAGGTCACCTCACACCCAGCTGTTTGCAGTACACTGCCGCCAAAATCAACTCGCTCTTCAAATACTGCCGCGGCTAAACTAAATATTTACGTCCGCTGAAAGGACGGGGCTGATTTCCAGCGTGTTGTTGTGCGAGCTGCCGTTACACACACTTCCATTGCAGAGGTAAATTGAGGTCATATGTTTATAATTTGCCCTTTTCCTAATGCTGCCATTGGAGTAAAATAACATTTGAGAGCAGCAATTAGATTGAACCACGCAATACTCTGTCTAATTAAGTCATATTTCAAGTTCAATAACGATCAAGCCGGCCAGATAAAGGCCAGGGAGAGAGAGGGGAGAGTGTGTGGAGCAACAATCTGCAAGCATTTTATACAAGACTGCTATTGTTTAGTCAGCAAAGCACTCAGACGCTGAGCAGTGGGCTGCTGAGGAGTGTTTCTGACTTCACAAGGATGACTGGGCGAACAGGGAAAGGAGAAGGTGTGTGTTTACATGCATAGACCTGCAAGAAGGTTTTAAATAAGAACATCCAGGGGCATTTTCACCAAACAACTCTCCTAGAACCAGGAGAAATGCTGCATTATTCAGACATCCAACATGTTCAACTTTTTGGACGTAAAAGCTAACTATCTCTATTTCCATCACAATTGGGTTTACAGTGAGGTCATTTTAATTACGGTGCTGTTACAATGTGCTATGTATAAAATGAATTATAAACGTAGGAAATGTTTGTGGAGTATAGATGCAGAGATTACCTTCTAAACATATAAACACAATCTGTCACACAGCTAGCAGTCTCGGCTTCTACAAATTGTGCTGCGGAGAAGCAGCAGGAGCTCAATCTGTGACTATTTACGATACATAGAGTACTTTTTATTCTGGAAACGACGCTCACCTGTGTGTCCTTCACTTTGCCCTTCTCCTGCCTGTCCTACTCTGCACTACCTAACCATGTGAACATCTCTTCCATTACCGCCCTTGACACCGGGGCCGATTGGATTCTTATCTGCCATCGGTAGGCCGACGCTCAGCCTGCGCTATCTCTCGCAGCAGCCTAATTGAATCTCAAGTGTTGGGAGTGCAGTGATACACTGACCACACCGTGTCACTGCCAACAGATAAGGCTGGCTGCTGGAGGATTGGACCCCCACAATCACGATGGGGACGCGTTGAGAAAGCGGTGACAAGCTGCTCGGGTTGGTCCGGTGTCGCTGGGACTTTGCTCGGATCGAGAGATAATGGATACCCTCCATTACGGCGAAGGTTGTGTTCCAATAGTCCCAAATCCCATAATCCCTCTTGGCTCGGTGGGTAATTTGTTGAAACAGAACCAGGGGAAAGTAGGGCAGCTTTTTTTCATCGATATCTGTATAAAATCTAGCGTTTACGGGACTCATTGTATTTCTTGTATGACCCTGAACCTGCAGATTGCTTAGTTTGAACACAAAAACAAAAGTAATCACGTTTGTTGTTGATGCTCCAGGAAGACCTTGGTGTTTTTTGAGTTAGTGATGAAGACAAGCCTCATTACCTGCTCCGTTTGAGCTCCCATTTTTCTTGTTAAGCAGGTGACCTTTTCAATTTAGAGAAATGGAGGCGCCGTCATGGCAGACTTTTGTGATGCTTAATTTATCACCGACTAAACAAAGAGTCACCTTGATGGAAGGAACTTTAAACTAGTAAGAACGTATTTAAAGATGTTCCTACCTTAGGAGGCCAAATCCTTTCCTTTTGGTCTTCTTCTCCGGATCATCCACAGACTCCTTCTTCGGTTTGCTCTTTTTCTCCTTCTTCTTCCCTTTAGTTTTCTTCTTCTTCTTTCCGTCGTCTACGTCCAGGCGAGTGGAGCCGCTGACGGGAGTTTCTTGACCGGAGCTCTGCTCTGAGCCGTCATCGTCTGAGGAAGTGTGAAGGGCAGAGATGTGTGCAGCATGCATGTACTGTGAGGAATCTGATCAGTAAGCTAGTTGGTCCTCTGTTCAGGGAGGAGGCCAGAGGCAAAGCTCTACACCTGGAGCAGTCATTTTCACTTGCCTTAGTTACATTTGGCAACTATTTGCAAAATCCAAGCCAAGAACAGCATAAGTGGTTCTGTTTTAAAGTTTAATGTTTCATCCAAAGTGTCAGAACACCTGCTAAGGACAGATATGTAACTTGTTTAATTGTCATTCCCCGCCAAATGTTGTCAAAGTCAGACTTGTGCAGGCAAACAAATGCAGACGGGTCCTTTTTCATTACAAAAGTTTGTCACTTTAGCTCACACATAGTATCACTTCCTCAGTAATCACATAGAAGTCGAACACACAGATATGTTTGATGTCTTTTGTGATTACTGAGGTGGAGCCTTACAAAAATGATGCTGCTGTATAATATTAAGTTCTAAAATTGCTGAGTGGATAGAATCATCTAGCATTTCATTAAGGCTAAGCACTGTCCCTTGGCAGGCCTCTGGCTCTTCTTGAGCGCCAGTGTGTTAAAAAGCCTGAGGGATGTGCCTTGGCTGTGTAGGGTCTAATTAAAAAAGGGATACAAAGTCTAGGAAATAGGACTCAAACATTTCAAAGGAACACTCTCTAAAGTTGTGTCTCGTTGTAAAGTCTTACCATCCTCAGAGGGTCCGTCGTAGGACTTGTCGATGGCGAAGCGAAAGCTCTGGTTGGCGCCCCGGCCCCGGACCATGTGGGGCGGCGGGCGGTGGAAGGGCTGCTGGGCGTGGCTGCGGCTCTGCTCCTTCACCGCCGTCTGAAGGCTCTCCAGGGAGCTGGACTTCCAGAGGCCGAGGGTGGGACCCAGCGCTGCTCCAGCTGAAGGCTCTGAGACGCAGAAAGAGAGACAAGAGAGGGCGGGGGGACGGGGGGGCAGTGAGCGATGAGGTGGATGGATGTGAAACAAGAAGAGAGGGCAGAAAAATATTTTGCCACTGATGCAAAGAGACAGTATGAGTTAGTGTCTGGATATCTCTATTACGTTTCCCACACACACATTAATTAATACTTTAAATAATGTATTAAATATATTGATATCTTGCAGTCACCCGGCTTTCAAGATCACCGAAGTGTAACCTGATGGATATACCTTTTTGGAATGAGGCTTTAAAAAGGTTCAAAGTCAGAATATGAAGCGGTGAAGGTAGCGGAAAGCAGATGTGAGAGGCTGGAAACAGGCTTGACAGAAAGAGTCCTATAGGAGCGACAAAAAGGAGGGGGATAAAGGAGGTGGAGGGGTACAGGCACAGGTGAACAGACAGGCTCATGCATAAGCAGAAGAGAGGGGGAATAAATGATCTGCCACCATACAGAACAGAACTCAGGAATGGCCTCCAAATCGGGAGGGCAAGAAAGGGGAGACGGAGGAGCAGGAAAGTGTTGAAAAGCACCGCTGACTCAGCAGGGGGTCGGAGAGGAGGGAAGATTTGAGGAAAATGCAGAGCTGTAGGAAAAACTGAGACAATTAGAGAAAGTAGCGAATGTCATGCAAGGTGTGAGGAATTGGTGACCGAGAGATGTGGATGAAAAACCCAGAACAAACCATGCAAAGAAACGGTGACTTTTCAGATCAGTTACAGACAAGTTTTTCTTTGTCAAGAACTTTCCTGTAGGGATGACTTTCTCGCATCATGGCACGCGCTGCTTAAGACATCATTTTAAAGGCTTCAAAGCTCGGAAGTAGAGCAGGAAAAAAAGGGGGAAGTGAAAGTGAAGCGGCAAAAGAGGAAGGGGGGCAGAGTAAGCGGCTGCCTTTTAAGTCCTAAATTGACTTTCTGAGAGGAAGTGGGATTTATAGGGAATAAGGGGTTATAAATAGAGAGGGGGGGGGCGCTCAGGAATAAAACGCTCAATTTGAGAGGCAGGATTTGTGTCACAAATGTAATTACGGCTGTCCGGCTCGCAGCCTGATAGAATTAAGCTCCTTGCCAGCGTACTGCTGCACTATACACAGAGAAACTGTGTGTGTCTGAGAGCGTGGGCATGTGTGTGTGTGTGTGTGTGTGTGTGTGTGTGTGTGTGTGTGTGTGTGTGTGTGTGTGTGTGTGTTGAGCATTTTTGGTCCCATGAAAAAAAAAAAGTCATGATACTGCCTGTGTGAGATAGTGGTTTGTGTCCTTGACGATGAAACAGGAAGTAATATGATCACCTTTGCTAGTTTGAGTGTGTGAGGCTTTGGGTGCCCTCTCTCCATGCATGTCAGGCGGTGGAGGCTGGAGGTAAATGAATAATGAGGGTTTAATAGGATGGATGAGCGGGGGATAGGTGGCTATCATCGCCAGCTCGATCCAATGGAGGGTGAAATCAGCGTTTATCACATATCGGCGCCCACTGTGCCAGCAGATGCTCTCGTGGATCCGTTCGCATCACGTCCGCCTGATTGCCACTGATTCAAGCTGGTGCACATATTTGACAAACAGCCTAACAGCCAAACAGGGCGATGCCCTTCACAGCTGTAATGCTCCTCCACCCTCCTCACTTTGCTTGTTGATCAAAGTCCGAGGACTTATTCTCGGCGTCACGAATTCAGAAGGACAAGGCTCGGAGTAATTTGAAGGCTTGAGTGGTGATGGAAAATATCTGATACAAAGTTAAGTTCATGCCTGTTTTAATATAAACTCCTTTGGCGGGAGCTTTGGGGTTTTAGCATAGACATTAAAAACACAGTACAGGACAGGGGAAAAAACTAAAAGCAGAATAGGGTCTCTTTAAAGGAAAACATCAAACGGTAATCTTCACAGTACGAAAATGTTTGTTACTATAAAACAATACTTTTTAACTTTTGATAGATGTGGCTTCTGTGAAATCTGTAGTAAGACTTCCTTAATGCTGAAAATGTTTTCCTGAAAACAATGAACCTGCCATTTACCGCTTTAAATGGCGTTTGCATTTCACACTAAACACCCACTCAGAAGCCCACCCATGCTGACATACTGTAGCTGTATGCACAACAATGGGCACATGCCAACATCCAGCTGCACACACACACCTCTCAGCTGAGCAGTGAAGTGTTTGCCTGGAATGTAGCCTTGGGCTCCTGCTGTGCTGACAGCGCTGCAGGATGAACACCGCTCTATTTTCTATTCTTTAAAGGTGTCACCTTAAAAGTGAGAGTGAGACACAGCTGCAACCTGTGAGGGGCAAACCACTCATTCTCTCATATTGCTTCATGGGTTGAAAATTTAAAAAAAATGATATTCTGTGTGAATAGTTTTCTCACCACTTACGAACCAAAATTGCCTGCACACATCTTCAATTATCTCAACCAATGAACACAAGAATAAAGACAAATCAGGCTTAGTCATACCGACCATTTCTGAAGTATTCATACATCAATCAGATTTATGCACACATACTGTACACATGTGTCTCCACACACTAACGCACACTGCAGAGCCCTAAATACTACACTAAAGGGCTGCAGGGCTTTTTGATTGTACTTTTAAATAGTTGTTTTTTCTATAAAATATGAATAACGCTAATTCTCGAATGTCTTGTCCATAACTCAAATATAATCATAGAGTAAACAAAACTTCAAAATATTCTCATTTAAGAGTCTAGAATCAGTCATTTGATTTTTTTTCCCATAAAAGTGCACAAAAAACAAATACAAATGTTATGGGGACTTCTTTTTAGAAAACTAAATCAGTTCTACTGCATGTCTAATATCCAATCAACTTGTCTTATTTTATTAATTACAATGGTCATTGTTGCAGCAGTCAAATAACACACACATACACACACCCCAATTTAAACCCTGTGCACACAGTGTCTCAGCGGGTTCTTAACACTTGCCCATCAACTGGACTACAATGTGCTCCACAGCGAGCAGCACACTGGCTGAAAGGTTGCCACGGTTACAAGAAAGTGCCCCCTCCATCAACACCGCTGGA